TTTAATTCTCATTAATATAAATTTAATCACATTTTATACGCAATAATTTGATTATATATATAAGTAGAAAATTGTGATCAAAGTAAGGTGTGTAAATAATACAAAAATCACAATGTTACAACTATGAAAAACGGAGGAAATATATAGTACTCCGATATTTCATATTGACCTATTTTTTTACTTTTTTTTATCTTCAACTTAAATTTTAATTGAATTTATTTTTTCAGTAATATTTTTTATATTCATACGTTTTTGTAATATATTTTTTCATATTCATACACTTTTTCTATAATATATTTTTTAATCTCTTTTATATGTTGATAGTGTTTCTAAGATATTAAATTAAATTTATTTATTTTGATTTACGTTTGATAAAATAAGAGGTTGCATTTTCATGTGTGTGATTTACATTTTCATATGTGTGAATTACATTTATACATGATTTCTCGAGTTAGATTTGATAATAAATAGAGTTACAACTTTTTATGCGCGAATTACATTTTCATTTGTGCATGCTATATCTTATTATGCATATTTTTTCATGTGCATGACTACATTATCATATGCGCGAATTACATTTGAAAATAAAGAAATGTTATTCATGAAATTTTTTTCATTAACAATATTTCTTTTGGCATGAAAATATTGTTCGTGCCAAAAGAATATAATGTAACATTATATTCTTATTATAATGCATTATTCTTATTCTAATGCCAAAAGAATATCATGAAAATAATAAGATGTATAATATTTTTCATGCCAAAAGAAATATTGTTCATGCCAAAATAACATTCTGACTACATTATTTTCCATGCCAAAAGAATATTGTTCACGCATGTTTTAGTTGTGAAACTACGATGCTCATGGGTTGCACCCACGTAGGGGTGGGCAAAAATACCGAAATATCGGTATACTGCACTTACCGTACCGAAAATTACCGGAAAATACCAGAATATTGGTATACTGTCATTTTCGGTACGGTATCATACCGTACCGATTTGTTTCGGTACGGTAACGGTAAATGTTTTCAAATACCGCGATATATATACCGGTATAATACCGTACCGACTCCCTACCCAATAATTACTTTTAATTCTAAAATATTGTAAAAATCCATTACAATTTTGAAGTCCAAAATTAATACTTAAGTTGGTTACAAATACCAAAATACAAAAATAAAAGTCTAATTTCCTAAACTCACTATAACGTTTTAGGCTTCTACTACATAACATTCAAACAAACTAACCATAATGACTAATAAGTAATATACTAATGTCGAGACACACAACTTTATCTAAAGTCTTATTCAAATATTTTTCAAAAAATTATAAAAATGACTAAATGCACAATACCATATTAGGAATAAATGATTTCATTTATATCCATGTTGTTTGAATAATTTTATTTATTTTTGCTAGAGATCACTATTGATTTAATTATATCTATATTGTTCAAGTTATTTTAGGAGAATGTGTTATTTATTCATACGTGGCATGTTAAACTACTTAAATATATTAATAATAATTATTGTTCAATATTGAATTGACATCAATAGATTATTAATTGTATTTTGTAACATTTTAATAATAGATTAAATATGTCTCTAGTAACAACGATTTAGTATATTTCATTAGTCTATGATAATTTATCATATTGGGAGACATTCATGGTAATTTACCGATACCGTACCGTTACCGAACAAAAATTTCGGTATACCAAAATGCGGTATACCGAAACTTCAGTATGGTAACGGTATATAAATTTTGTATACCAAAAGTTTCGGTACGGCAAAGTTATGCGAGAAAATATCCGGTATACCGTACGGAACCACCCCTACACCCACGTATGGGTGTATTGTGTCAGTCGGACCGACTCGGGACCCGCCCGGCACTATTGGGACCTGACCCGACCCGCTGAACCGGCCCCAGGACCGGGCCTGAAGCCCCAACCGGTAGTTTGATTGGGCGGGCTCCGGGACATGAAAAACGTGAAACGGATATAATTTAAAAAATAGCTTTTTGGATGAAATGTAAGTATATAATAAAAAATCACCCAAAAAGTACACCAGTACAGCAAAAAAGGAAACAAAACTAAAGGTTATCCAAAACAAGGATAACCCATCACCTCAAAAATAAAAGGCAGCCTAGCTAAAGAGAGAGCAAAAAACGCCAAGCACATACAAATGGCCAATCACAGCAACAACCAAGGAAAAAAGAGAGCAAAATAACAAACGGCCAACAACAAAAAGAAGGTGATGGGCCGCAGCCAAAGTTCAAAAAGCTACCACCTCTAAGTCCTTGAATTATAAAAAAAAAATGGCTTTTCAAATGCTTGTGGGCTACCTGGTTGTTCCTATCCGTTGTCAACGGCTATAGAGCCGTTGGAGGGGGGTGTAGGGTTAAGAAAAAACCGTGTAGTATGCGAAATTAAAAGCCAAGGGGACGTGAAGTGTTTTTTCCCGCTTTTTTAAAATAGGCTATTAACCATATTATCAATTTTACTTCATATTTCAATGAATATGCATTGAATGTTTTTGTAGTACTTGTGAATTAAAAAAAAAATTAGGCCTGACCCGGACCGGACCCAAAGCCAACCCAGGTAGCCTGACCCGGACCGGACCCGGTATATAACCGGGACTCAATTTCCCAGACCCGACCCAGCCCGAAACCGGCCCAGTCCACCCCTACTCCCACGGTATAACAACTGACATCCAATGCATTATACTAATTTCATATAGGGCTGTTCTATTGACAGCCTTCATATTTCTAAGCACAGCCCCAAATTAAATAATAAATTAATTAAATAAATTTAAATATCTAATTTGCCCTTTTTCAATCAGGGAGTAAGGTTGGTCCTTTTTCTAAATCTGTTCGGCCACAGATTTCCGGCGAGACAACGGGATTGGAGTAATTCGAGAGAGAACGATGACTACTCTTCCGAAGCGGCATTCCCAGATGCTAAGCAACTAAAGGCAAGATGTACTCTCCTTTCCGAAGCAGAAGAAATGCAGAAGGCGTGGTAGAGCCTACCTATGTGCTATTGGACAACAAAGAGGCCGCCGTCTAGAGCTAATGATTCACGCCCACCTCACACTCTCACAAACGGTAAAATTAGTAGGGAAGGACAATTTTCACAAGAAAAGTGAGGGTCTCACTCTAGGGAATTTCCAATTTTTTCTGGGAGAGGATTCGTTGCTGGAGGAGGTCCCAGGCCATGTCGCATGTAATTTCTAGGAATCTTGATGGAGTCTTGCACCGCTTACTACTAGTGATGGCAACGGGGCGGATCGGGGACCGGTACACATAAAACCGAAACCGCCCCGTTGGATAAATGTTTGCCCCAAAACCGCCCCATTACCCGTTCGGGTAATTTTTATTTGAACCGTACCCGCCCCAACGAGGAATCGGTTTATCCACGGGTAACCGTTTCCCCAAATGATGCCAAATAACCATTTTTTTGGAAAACAAATAACCAATTTCTAATCCTACTTGTTAGTTATATATTCAAAACACCCTAAAACATACAAAAGTAAATATTTAAGCAATCAAGCAGACTAGCCTAAATCCATTAGTATGACATGCACCTAATATCTCTTGTAACATAATAAAAAGGTAATAATTATCCCAGAATCCAAATTCCAAAGACAGGTTTATGCCTATATTTAGTTTTAGGCCTAAAAAGTACTATACTTTTTAGCATTATTTATATGATATATACTATTTAGTATACACAATTTGGCATATATACTTATTATTCTTATATATAAAAAATTATAATTCATTAATAATGTTACGGATCGGATAACGGTGCGGGTACCCGCACCATTAGAAACCGGGGCGGTTTCGGGGCAGATTAGTATAGAACCATAACCGCACCATTAACCATTTAAAAAATTCGGGTATTCCCCGCCCCATACCCATTCCCCAGTCAAACCGGTTTTCCCCAGTTTGACCTATGGGTGGACCGGTTCCGGTTCGGGCCTGGGCCCGGCCGGGCCTCGGTTCAGAAATGGGAGGCCCGGAACCGGCCCGGGTAATCCCGGTTCCGGTTCGGGCCGGGCCGGGCCGGGCCTCGATTCTTTTTTTTTTTTTTTGGCTTTTCCCAATTAACCCCCAACCCTCCCCCTCACCCCCAAACTAGGGGTGGACTGAACCGGGCCGGTTCGGGCCTCGGGCCTGGGCCCGGCCGGGCCTCGGTTCAGTATATATAGGCCCGAGCCCGAACCGGGGGTGGCCGGTTCCGGGCCGGTTCCGGGCCAGACCGGGCCGGGCCACCCGCCCTATTAATTTTTTTTTTTGGCTTCTTTATTTAATCCCCTACCCCTCTTTCTCAACCCCAAACCACCCCAAACCATCTCAAATGGACCAAAATACCTAATCTAACCCAAAACATAAAAAATTTTCAAAAAAAAAAAAAATTAATTCCGGCCCGGACCGGGCCCGAACCGGCCGGGCCGGTTCACCATATGGAAGGCCCGGGCCCGGAACCGGGAACCACCGGGCCGGTTCGACCCGAACCGCCGGTGGACCGGGCCACCGGGCCGGGCCGGTTGCTACAGTGGCCGGGCCGGGCCGGTTCCGGGTCGGACCGCCCAGCCCGAGTCCAGGCCTACCCCAAACCACCTCAAATGGCCCAAAATACCAAGCCCAACCCAAAAACTTAAAAAAAATTCAAAAAAAAAAAAAAAAATAATTTGGCCCGAACCGGGCCCGAACCGGCCGGGCCGGTTCGCCAATCAAAGGGCCCGGGCCCGAACCGCACAGTAACCGGGCCGGGCCGCCCGGCCCGAGTCCATCCCTAGTTTGACCAAATCGGTTCGGTGCGGGTATCCAACGGGTCGGCCGAAATTGCCATCTCTACTTACTACGGTTATCACATGGTCTGAGTTCCGAGACCTGTTGTGAGAGATATATCTCCATGTAGCTTCTCCGCCAGAAACTAAACTTCAGACATGGTATTTAGATTTGATGATAAGAGTTGTATCAAGTAAAAGGTTATAATGGGAATTATGAATTGATTTTAATTAATACGGAAAGAAGGGGCTGTGTTTAGTGAAAGTGAGGCTGCAAATAGAATTCCCCTTTCATATAACAATGCTTTATTGCTATTTAGAGGAAACATGATACATACTGTGTTTAGGAGAATTGAACCACTAGTTTTTACTCCTCACTTATTCGGTAATTTCATCAAATTGAAACCCCACCTTCTACAAGAGCATACAATTGAAACAACCCTAACATCCGGGTGGGTGGAGCTACAAATATGAGTTCCCGTGTGGTTTCACGGTTCATTAACAGTAGGAGTAGTAGGCTTCAATATGGACAAGTCTGCAATAGCTTCTGCAACCGTCATGTATAACCCGTCCATGCCAAGCTCTGCAAGAAAGCCGGACTTGCTCAACTTTTCCACAACGTTTTCCAAAGGATTAGCCAATACAAGCTTAAGCGACCGTCTCTCTAACACCATTTTCAGTTCCCGGATTGTTTCTATACCACTTGTGTCTATGGCTGTAACAGCTGACATGTCAACAACTATGCATCTGATTGGCCTTTCTCCGTTTTCTGTGGCCCTCTCTTCCTCTTCTCGGACCCATCTCAGCAATCTGCAGTTACGTGATACGTTATACATATGCATCACCCTCAACGCAAAGGAGCCTAGCCTCTTATATTACCCTGTATCTGTTTGGTTTGATGGAAACTAGCCCCTTGTGAAAATTACATGGTTACTTTTAATCGCACATCTCTCTCCTCGCTTTGCATAAGACAACGTCTCTCCTCTCTTGATTACCTTACTACTGGATCTTTAAAATAAATATTCAAATTGAAATTAATTATGTTAACTAATTTAGAATTAAATGTTACTTTAAAAAAACTTAGAATTATATGTTGTTTACAACACTATAATTAAATATTATACGTATTTATAATAAAAACACAAATGCATTTGTGATTAAATGTATTGCCCCTATAGTTTACTTGATAATGGAGTGAAATTTTCTGGTCTGGTAAAAGTCATGCGTATTTTATAATGGTTAAAGTGTCAAATAGGCCCTGGTACCGTGTTGTAAGCTCAATTCAGTCCCTGAACTAAAACAAGTATGCATTAGATGAGGCATTAACTGATATGTGCAAAATAAAAATTTAGACTCAAGTGTGCATTAGATGAAAACAATCGGTAGAGAAGGTCTAATTCGCACCGCTAAACTATTAAAAATTGTCAAAATTGCAATAAGTCAAAAATACAAAACAGAAACAATTAAAATATTAAAAAAATGTCCAGTTGTTTACCCATAAAAAATGAAATTTGAACCTTTTTTATCGGTTCGGGGTGTGAATTGAACTTTTTTTAGTTCAGGGACTGAATTGAGCTTACATGACTAGTTGTTGACATCTCCTGCATCCGAGCTCAATCCCTGCGTCTCCTCCGTTCTTCTTCTTCCTCCATATACACACACTCATATATAATATAAGCCCAATCACTATGTATTTTTTGGCTTCTCCTTTGATGGCTCATAGAGAGCACGCATCTTATGTAGTAGGAGTAGCAAGAACAGTGTATAGAATGGATTTTGGGGAATTGTTGACCCCTCGACTTTGTTTAGGGATGGGCAACAATCTTGGCTTTCTGGAATTTACATGCCGTTTTAGTTGATGGTTGCCGATCCAGATTTCCGATTTATACTTGGAGATATATTGGAGATATATTACAGCAGATAACAGGGTGTGTTGGGGGCGTTTTTGTACTTTGATAAAATATTTCAACAAAAATCATTTTTTATCAAACACTACAACTTTTTGGTTTCTAATCAAAATCATTTCCATTATCAAACACTATCAACTTTTACTAATAAACACTTTCTCCAAAATCACTTTAAAAATCACTTTTAAAGTAGAAGCAAACGCAAAAACTCCCTAAGTCTGGTCTGGAACTGAAATAAGTCCAAGTAAAAACATCCTAAAAACATCCTAGTAAGACACAGTAGTACTATTTTAACTCTTACTTCCCTTATACTCCGCCTACCCTCTCCCCCTTTCTGTTGAACTAAACACCCAATAATAAGGTAATATTAGACCGCCCACACCAAACGCCTCAAAGATTTAAGACTGACAAAGCCAGGATAGCTAATCTTACCTTTGCTGTACGTAGGTGGAATTTGCAAAGTAGATAGGAGCTTCCACTGAGAGTACAAGAAAAGAAGGTATCCTAGTGGTTGTTCTATATCTGCTTAGGCTTTGATATACCTGAGTTCCTGGAATTTTTCCGAGAACACAAGTATTGGGCCTTGTCACATTCAAAAGAATCTTGAACACAGAAACTGCAACCTAAATTTTCACACAAAAAAAAAAGAAAAAGAAGAATCTTAGAAATAAGAAACCTTTTGTGTTTGGCCGTTTGGGTCTGTTTGGAACCCGTAATATAATAGGGAAAGAAGATAACTAGAAAGAAAGTACTTGTTTTTTAGCAATGAAATAAGTAGGAAAATGATGTAAAACATAGGGCAGAAATAAAACTTTGGTTTATTTAGAGTTTTAAACTAATGACATAAGTTTTATGTATATGTTAAAACTCGTGTTATTTATAAAGTTTTCCTAATGTGTGCTCGTGGGCGCATGATAATGCTTATTTAACTTTTAATGTTTAAAGTAAAAAAATTGATGTATCATTAAAATTAATACATGTATCAAGGATTATGAAAACAATAAACATTATTATGGGCTAAAATTAACTCATTAATTTCTCTAAATTAACTCATTAATTTCTCTTTATCATGTGTCCATGAGTGCGCATAAGAAAAATGTATATATTTCTATTTCTATAACATAAGGACTACCAAATATAAATATAGGTAATAAACCTAAATGGTTTAATCAAAACTGATGCTCCTTCATAATCTCCAAGATGATATCAAACTTAAAAAATATGAGCAGTTTTTTCCTTTCCCTACAGTTTACTGTGTTCAAAATGGCTTAGTGCCCTGGCCGGGATTTCTATATGTAATTGGTTTGAGATTTGAGAAGAAGCTTCTTACTGCAATGGCAAGGCCAAGGGGCACGGAGATGAAAAGGACGCCAAAGAAGGAGCAGATACATGCCAAGAAATCAAATTTGTCAACTTTCCATAGCCGGAAAGCAGCTTGGTAATCGATAAGTCCAATCACAGCACTGATAATAATGGCTGCCAATATGAGGTTTGGTGTGTAGTGGAACAATGGCATGAGGAACAGTAGAGTGATCAGAACGGCTGTTGCCATTATTATATTTGACGCTACTGTTTGTGCTCCAGCATTGTAGTTCACCGCAGATCTCGAAAATGATCCTGAATAGATGCAACATACATACATGATACATACATGTGTGTTATTGGTAACACTTTCACTTTTTTACTGATCACATACCTTTGACCACACATTATGAATAATATACAAAAATAAATCATATTACATGAAACGGAATAGCCTCAAATAGACTCTTACTATTATTTCAATTTTTTTTATGTTAGCGCCAGCTGATCCGGACTAACACTAGCCTCCCAAGAATCCATGGATCCCTACGTAAGAATTTCACAAGATCCTGCTGGAACGGCACGGGGTCAAGTAAGGACGACCCCAAGTGTCGTCTAAGTCAACTGGAACTTCTCCGCACCCTGGATAAGGTAAAAACTATAGCATGTAAAGAATATCAACAGAGATATATAAAATGATAGATGCACGAAAATGTGAAGTGTTCGTTACAATGCCGCCCCGAGGGCGGAAAACATCCAAATGCACGCAGGTCTGGAAACAAGTGTTTGAATAATTGTTTAAAAGAGCGAGGAATCAAGACTCTTCTTGGAGGAATCCGGGTGGCTGTGGGAGCATTATTCTGGGAGCTTCAGAATTGACCAACTCATCAGGCAACCCCCAGGATTTGGCAGAGAAGAAGAGGTCTTTTTTGAGTTTTTCTTTAACAGCTTCTCGATAGATTGCTGCATGGCAAATCTAGCTACTTCAAAACAGAGCGCCCCCTCCTCATCGAGTTTGGCCTCGCCATCCAGAGTCAGAAGCCACGTCTAAGCAATCGCAGCTCGGCCGGGGACCAGTTCCTTCTCCCCCTCTCCTCAGAAGGCCTCAAAGCGTCAGAACCAACATCAGCAGCCTCTTTCTTCAAGCGCTCCTCCTTCACCCTCCAGGACTCCTCCACAGCGCGATGGGCAACCTCCAGCTTTTCATTCTTCTTCTTCAGCTCCTCCCGCTCTTTCACCGTGCTCACCCTCGCCGCCGCCACCGCTGCTAGCCTGGCCTCCGAACGGCAACTGCCTTCTTGTGATCCAAGATCGTCTTCCTCACTTCCTTCTCCTTGTCACCTAAGCTTCGAGAGCTGGCGGCTGAGTGAAGGTCTGAGGAACCAAGACGTTAGGAAGCTGAAAGAAAAAGTTAACAAAGGATTCCAAGGCTAGAGAAATGGGATTCACGCTCCCATGATGCAGTGAGGCGGTAGCAGAGCGGCATGGTTAGGCAAACAAAGTGGTCTCATCATCAGTAGCAACAGTTTTGGTCTTCTATAGCTTGGAAGCAGGGATGGACTGGGTTGTCGGCCTCTTCCCGGCCCCCTGGTAACAAGAGGTCAAGGGTTATTAGCCGGGTGGGCAGGAGTCACAGCTGCATCCCTTCTTAGGGTCCCAGTACGCTACTCAGACATTACCCTTGTGAGGACTCTCTTAGCCGAAACTAGGGAACCAGAGGTATTTCCAGTCCGAGCGGAGAGCCTTTATAACCTGGATGCCATCTTCTCACCCTTTGCAGAACACCAACAAGACATACATAAGCGCATGGGAACAACAAAATATGAAAAAATGATAAATCAAGCATCGCCGACTTGAGACTTGAGAGATACTCTAAAAGGATCACACCGTCCTCGCCTACATAATGGCTCATCACAAAAAGGCACCATCGGCAATGAGGGTAGCGGCATGTTTGTTACCCTCACTTATAATGAGCATACACCATCTCCGGATCAACTCACCCACCTGTTCGTAAATGACAAGGCACCCTCAACCAGAGAAACACAAACCCACTTATTCTTCCAGTTTTTATGGGAGTCGGGATAAGATTTGGCAAAGAATAGGTGATACTATCAAAGGTTGAACAGAGTGAAAGACGTGCAAGAAGAGATCCAGAGTGGGGAAAGTTTTCAAGTGAAGACACCAGGCAATAAACTCGACGATGAACAGATGCATCATGAGGGTAAGTAGACCCGGAATAACCCCTTAGTGGTCGAGAACGAGTCGAAGGGCATGATGAAGAGGAAATCGAGCTCCTATCTCCAAGCTAGCGAGATGGACCCCGAATTGAGTAGGGGAGGGAGGTTCAACTATATTTTGCCCGCTGCTGGGATACCCCGGGCGAAATCAGAAAAAAAGTTAAAAATGGGTTTCCACCCACGAAGTATCGATAGGGATTCAAGGGAGGCCAGAAGATGAACCCTCCTTGCAGGGAAGACGTCTTGGAGGGGGGTGGGTTCAAAAGGAAATTTCAGAAAGGGTAATTCTAAATACAGCCCAATTTTTACTAAATACAGCCCCTAATTAAATTAAATGGCTAATATATCCCTATTATTTTATAGCCAATAATGCATCGGCTCCAACTATACTATAGACAATACCATCGACCTTCTGCTCTTTTTCTCCTACCCGGACCACGCTTCTTCTCCTTCAACCTGTCTCCGCCGGCGATAGCTCCCGCCGGATGGTGGAGTTCGCCCTTGCCAATATACGTGTCGATCTCCTTCTCCTTCAACCTTTCTCCTGCGTTTCAGATTGTCTACCATCCTGGAGAACACCATTCATGGGGTGATTTTCCTTTCCGAAAAGATGGGGCATTTTGAGTCAGTTTTCTGAGTATGGCAAGAGTATCATTTTTTGAAAATGAATTTCTTGATCAGTGTAGTCTCAACAAAATTGATGTAGTTTCATTTTGGTTTGGTGATAGGAGCCGAGTGTAGAAAAAGCACCGCCAAGAGTTTGCCAATTGCGTATATATTGAGGAGAGGTTCTGCTGTGGGAAGCTCTCAATCGTGAGAGGTTAGGTTCTCAGCCGGAGCAGCCTTCATCTTCTTCATTGAAATATCTCACTTTGACAGAGCATGTTCAGGGGAGGAGAAAAAGAGCCGATGATAAAGTTGGAGCCGATGGTAAAGTTGGAGCCGACGCATTTGAGTACTGGGTAATAAAATAATAGGGATATAATAGATATTTAATTTAATTAGAGGCTGTATTTAGTAAAAAGTGGGCTGTGTTTAGAATTACCCTTTCAGAAAAGAGGAAGACATGAAACTGACGTGACAAGAACGGAAGGACTGAGAAGAGTATCCTCACCAAAGCTCATAAGCGCGTAGGGTTTCTAGTGGAAAGCACAGGCCCAAGCGGAAAGCCCTATATATAGGGAGATGGCACCGTATAAGTGCTAGGGAACCGGGATTGAGGCACTCGAGTGCGGAGGTTAGTAAGAAAGATTTGGAAGTTGTGATGTTTCCAAGGCACGTGTTCATTCGTTCTGTACTTGCAAAGAATGAGGCAAGTATTAAATGAATGATAGACGGACCAATTTAAAAATTAGAGGGAATCTAGTTACTCTCTTTCGTTGAGCCCGGTCAATTCAACAGAGTGGGACCCAGAGTAGGGGGTCCCGTGAAGGTGCTATGGGCCTGATCCATAGTCCAACTATGGGAATAAATACTTGACTCCAGATCAACCCGGATAAAGAATTAATAAACAAGCTATAAAAGCCTGAACAGGGAGATCTAAGCCCACTGTGGGATTAATCACGCCTAAGCCAACCTGGACGGTAGGCGCCAAGCTCAATGGAAATCTCCTTGAGGTCGGACACTTGTTAGGGCTTACGTGGCATCAGAACCGCAACGGATAACGTGCAGCGACACAAATCACCTGATGATACGCAGGCATCAAGGAGGCATTAAATACAAAAGCTATGAGAAACGTTATATGAGTCCTATTATGATTGGTCATTAATTGTATCAATAATGTCTCCTAATTGTATTATGACCATACACTTATAAATACTCGTGTATATGTTTGTAAAGGGAGACGAACTTGTACATATCTTGTAGAGACGATCCTCCTGAATAATAATAGTCTTACGCTGCCAAATTATCTATTATCTTACGCATATCAAACTCATCGATAGATTAGCTCTTGCAATTGGAATTATACTTCATCTATATACACTCATTATACATATAAAGATTATATATACACACATTTTATTTATTTATTTATTTATGTTGATTTATTTATATATTTCAAAAATTAATTGATAGTAAAATAAGGAATAATTTTATTATTTACTCCGTGTTTGATAATTTGTATGTTATGGGCCTCATGGTGCATTACATGCGCTAATGAAAGAAGAAAGCTAAAGCAATAAAGATAAGATAAGATAAGCTAAGGAACGCAAAGAGGAAGCCTGGATAGCAAGTTTTTTCTTGTGACGCCGAGAAATAACTGGAGTGAAAGAACAATCTTTAGTGACCTCAATCAAATCACTTTGTTCAACTAAAGCTAGAGAAGTCACTGAAGCCGTAGATGAAGAAAGAGCAACACTCTGAGCCGAAGTCTAAGATTTCATCCTTTTGTCTAAACTCATTTGATCTGTCTTGAATTGAGTGATAAGATCTTGGAGAGAAGGATAGGAAATAACAGTCGTCTTAGAGATCTTACCCACAACATTTGCTTGAGAAAAACATTTTCACGTTCTTCTTGGAGCATGTAGTTAGTTCCTTCAATGCATCAGAAGAAGAAATCAAAACAGTCGATGAAGACATATCCAGAGTGATTGTCGAAGGAGAAAATCCCTGAATATCAGCCTGAAAAAGAATCTCGGAGACTGAAAAGTCATTAATCTTACCAACCCTTTCAAGTCTTAGCAAAAAATCCGGCACAAATTCCATTGGCTCTGAAAAATCATTCAACAAATTAATGGCTCTGAATAATCTTGAAAAGAAATCCCAGAAACCTTATCCATATCTTTCTTCAGAAAAAAATAGAATCAATCCCTTTGTCAATGATCCGAAAAACCACCATAAGAATTTGAATTGAAGAGAATTATAAAGCTGCTCAACTCGAATCTAGAACTCCTCAGCCATAGTAAATTATCTAGATCAAACACAATTGAAGAATTAAAACCTGATTTGACCTCAGAAATACGAACAGATTTGTCCAAGCAATTAAAAAGAAATTTTGCTTTCACTAAAAATGCCAGATTCTAAAGAAGAAGCTGAATCAAATGCAGGTTGTTGAACCAAATCCTTGTAATCATCCTT